AGACTGGAAGGGGAGAGAGAACACGAGGGAGAGCACAGACATGCCAGGCAGGGGAAACATGATGGAACAAAACAGGGAGAGGAAACAAAGCACAAGAACTCACAATTAAATAAAGGAAGACATACAGAGGGCAAAGACACAAAGGGGAGTCTAATAAACTAAACAGAACAATCTAGGAACCATAGAATAAATCCTTAAAATAACAATCTTAATATAATACAAAAATGCAAGAAAACTGAGAACGCTGGTACAAAATGACCCAGGACCACGACATAGAGTCTGAGATCAGACAAAAATCTAGCAGCTGTTCTCATCACATGTTTACACACCATTGTTAAAAGAAGAGGGAATGCTACACAGTGGAAAACACGACTCTGCCATCATATTTGAAGACTTTTCTTGCTTAAAATGATCAATTCTTCTCGGTTTACATATCTGATGTGTTTTCTGAGTTTTATTGAGAATAAAATGTGGGATAATCACTGCACTCTGTTTTTATTTACATAGTCTCTCAACATTTATTGAAATTGGGATTATATATTACACAAAGCGTTCAGCACCATTTCTCCTGCTCTGTTTAACAACAGAGCATCACAGGCTTTAGTGATAACAACTGAACTGCTTTTGCATATGTAGATCCTGGAGCTGCCCTATGTGGTTGAGGAGCTCAGCATGTTCATTCTACCCAGGATCGTCCAGCGTTACAGCAGTCCATTTGTGGAGGAGAGATGATGGAAAGCTTTGTGAAGCTGCTAATGCTGTTATACGTTTAGTAAGAAGCTTTGTAAATTTCATCTTGGAGCAGTATGGGCAGATATTGCTTGCATCTTATTAGTTGTAACTGAAAGCTCCTTAGATTCACATCTTGAAACAAGAAAATGTCAAGAAAAAAAAAAAGTCTTTGTACTGTGCTCGGTGAGATGCAGCTATATGTCATGTAATAAGGGGCATGCATACAATGCCAATGACAGTTGGAGAGCAGTGTGGAGCCACTGTTATTTTTATGTTCCTCAGGCTGTAGACAGCAACATACAGCACACCACTTTAACATTCTGATAGAAGCTTTATACATACAGCTTTGAGATGAGAAGAATCAGCTGCAGATGAAGGAGAGAGAACTGGTAATCAGTTTGTATATGATAATAGATCCATGTGCACTGAGAGAGGTAAAGGTGCAGCAATATCAGGAGAGG